CGCAGACCATGAACGTGACCAGGTGTGAACAGGTGTCTCCACTCGGCACGGCAGTTAAAGGTAAACCGTGTTTCAGCTGTTCTTCACAGAAATGCTGTAAACGTTGCTAGCTAAAGCTAACGGCTAAACCCTCCATGGTAGCTGCTGGCTAATGCTAGCTCGACTCTAACGTCCCGGTGTTCTGTCGAATATAGACTGAAGGAGTTTGGGATTAATATATTTAAAGTGATTTTGTTCTGGTAGCTTTGTTTATTGCGGACACAGTTAGCCTCTGTGGAGGCATCTTCTGACAAGGTAGCAAATCTCGACAGAACACCGCGTCTGACGGGAGCGTGACTAGCGGCTATTCCCGTTAAAGAAAAGCGAACATTCAGACATTTTATCCAGGTAAGTGTTACAGGCCTGTATCTTTGTGTGGTTCTCTAAAATTCGGCTGCTAAATAAGCCACAAAGAAGCTTTTATTGCTTTTTTAAATTGAATGTTTAGCGTTGATGCAGAACCTCTGCAGGAGGCGCGAAGGAGAAAGGTAGCTGCTGCTAAAGTGGAGAAATATATTGGGGTTTATTTTATGCCGAATTCTTAAATGGTGTCTTTCACTTCATGTTTCTTTATTGCATTGTAGTTCTTCGTGTTTTAGTCACAGTGGTTTTTGTCTTTGTGTTAATTAGCCGGAAGGTGAACGGGGTTTGGTGCAGCTGTTTTTCTAACCTAGTTCTGTGTCTTCCAGGAGAGAATGAATCACACGATGGATTCATCCAGACAGCAGTCATTTTTCCTGAGAAGTACCACAGCAGTGTCTCTCCATGAGCGGTGAGACACACAGTCATCAGCATCAGGGAAACATTAATTATGAGATATTAATCTTTATTAATTAATCCTTTGTCTCCACCACCAGTGAATTCTGTATCACATACTATGAACCAGCTCATCACAAGATAGTAAAGTTAAATTGCAATAAGTGTCGTTGTGACAACAGAATTTTAAACTTCATTTTCATGCTGGTAGAAATCATGATATCCATGCATGTTTGTTTCCACGGCAATTGAAATAGAAGTCTTCAGCGCCACATATTGGATAATTTAATGTTTTTAATCAACAATAATCGCTGACAAACTCTTACATCAAACCATGGACGGGTTTCAGTACAGAATCTTTGCCATTGTAGAGGAACTATCCACTAGGCAGCTCCCTCAGAACTAAACACCACAGGGACTTTTTATTTGTCTGCATCCCCATGGTACCTACTCTGAAGCAGGAGCTAAACAGGTTCCTCTAAACGAGGCTCTAGGAACTTCAGTAGTTCATAGTTCCTGCGGTGCAGAATCAGTAAAAGAGGGGGAGGATTCCAACTTTTCTTAGAACTATGAAAAGTGTCTTGCGGTCTGAAAACGTCAATTGAAGACGCCTCAATTAAAGCTAAAGAGGCGACGGGCATCACGACTCGATGGATGAGGTCTGTACATCTCGTCGCTCCCCGCAGGCTTAGAGCTCGACTAGCGTACTGAAGCTAGCAGGAGAGCTAACAGACGGAGCTGAACAATAAGTGTATGTTGTAGAAATCTTCACACAGGACCTTTGTTCTCTCTGAGAGACCCGACCTTCTGTTTGTGATGATGTAACTCGTCGCTGCAGCTTCTCTCAGGTTCTGACAGACCAGCTGACCCAGTCCATGACGGTGACCCTTGACCCCATCATGCTGCAGCAGATGGGGGGTGGTGGTCCGCAGGTTCTCCTGCTGCTGAAGAGCGGGCAGCCCACACCGCTCCACCTGCAGGTGAGTCACAGAGCTGTGGACCAATGAGAACAACAGACCCCTCTCATCACTATACCCCCCCCCATGATGCAGGCGGGTGTTTCATCGGTGACTCGGAGGAGCGTCTGGACGCGACTCGGCTGGCAGCCAGTGACTCGGCGTCTCTCGATCCGCAGACCTAGAGGGTTCTGGAGCTTCAGGAACAAATACAGATGGAGAGCCAGGTTCACCTCCAGGAGTGAGTTAATAACCTGCTTCCCTTAACCCTTGACCTTTGACCTCATCAATGTGTTCTGACCCGTGTGTTACCTTTGCAGGTGGAGAGGACCTGCGCAGTCGACTCGGGCAGCGTCGCCTCCAGAGGAAAAGAAACTTCCAGAAGCTGACGGCAGGTCAGTAAAAGAGAGGATAATATCCAAAGATCCACCTGGACCTGACGCTGTTACTGTTACCATGACAACACAAATAGAAATCCTATAGCATCTAAGCATGTCTGCAGGTTTCTCTGTTCTCCTTTTGATAAATCATCAAATATCAGCTGCTTTTAAAACACTCAGTCATTAAGATCAGCGGTTCTCAACCGGTCTAGCCTGAGGACCCCCCCACAGAGACCAGACCCCCCACAGAGACCAGGCTTTGTGTACGCCCCCTCAGGCGGTACAAAACATGTTTTAAAAGAACTTCATTCAGGACCCACTGAAAACGTCTTTGTGACCCCCTGTAGGGTCCCGACCCACCAGTTGAGA